ATCCTGTGATTTTAGTTTATTTCCTCAGACAGAAGAGGCAGTTTTTGTTTCGTGCAAATAGTTCCAGGAATTACAGAGATCTGAACCATAAACCAGGTCACACATCTGCACCTCTCACCTGTCTCACCTGTCTCACCTGTGTCACCTGTCTCACCTGTCTCACCTGTCTCACCTGTCTCACCTGTGTCACCTGTGTCACCTGTGTCACCTGTGTCACCTGTCTCACCTGTCTCACCTGTGTCACCTGTGTCACCTGTGTCACCTGTCTCACCTGTGTCACCTGTGTCACCTGTCTCACCTGTCTCACCTGTCTCACCTGTGTCACCTGTGTCACCTGTCTCACCTGTGTCACCTGTGTCACCTGTGTCTCACCTGTCTCACCTGTGTCACCTGTCTCACCTGTCTCACCTGTCTCACCTGTGTCACCTGTCTCACCTGTCTCACCTGTCTCACCTGTCACCTGTGTCACCTGTCTCACCTGTCTCACCTGTCTCACCTGTCTCACCTGTGTCACCTGTCTCAGCTCAGGTTAAACTCACAGACTGTTTAAAGAAGTGGAATAATTGAGTCGACGTCACCTACGGCAGCTTCAGTCAAATGAAGCTCATCGAGGCTGCAGTTACAAGAGCAAATTTAGAGCCAAGTTCTATATAGAGCTTTTTCACAGAGGTCTGAAGTGTCCCGCTGGAGGTTTGTGGAACTTCCGGTTAATGTTTTCTGTGTAAAAGTGTGTGTAAATGTGTAATATGTTTAACTCTCTCCTGTGACGGGACACAGACTCTTTGGTTTCTGTCCCTCGCCTCAGTCCGTGTGTCCGTCTCACCTGAGGGGTCGTAGGTCACACAGGTGAGCTCCCCCTGGCGTCTGAACTCCCTCCGGGTGACGGTGCGTCGGTCTCGGGTGTCCCTGAGCGTGAGCGCGCCATCCCTGCTCCCCGTCACCAGCAGGGGGCGTGAGGGGTGGCAGCAGAGGGCGCGGACGGGCTCAGGCTCCTTCTCCAGGACGCTCCGGGTCTCTTCGCTCTCCGTGTTCACGTGGAGCACAGACGAGCCGGAGCCGCACACGATGAAGTTCCTGCACACACGGACCAGAGTTTAGACATTGGACACTTTTATGAATGTGTGAAATGTATGAAATAAATAACCAGCAGAGGGCGCAGGGACTCGAGTAGTGAGAACACAGCTCAGGGTTAGTGAAGAATATTTAGTTGTGCAGAGAAAAGTGAAGCTCATGTTGAAGTGAGTTTGTGAATCGTCCATAATAACGCAGAGGAGGACTGAAAGGAGACCTCGTCCACTCAGATCTTCGACCATGTTACAGTAGTTCCTCCTCACTGTCCCTCTGAACGTGTATTTGGACTGATTCATGCCTGTTTAATCTTCACTCCCCTGTATTCAAGACACTGACAGTTTTATTTTCATGTGCTGCGTTCTCTTGTTCTCGGGACTTGGGGAAAACCGACCTCCACCTCGAGAAAGTGCAATAGAACAGACACTCAGATCTGGGTTCTGAAACACAAACTTGGGTGAGTTCGGCACAAACCGAGTCGCTTGGATTTACGTCACAGTAAAAATGATGTGCCTCGTTGTGTTTGTGTAGAGAAAGTGTCTCTAAAAACTTTGTAGTGTTTAGACGTTTAGATTTTCCTCTCACATCAATTGACAGTAACACAAGTTTTTTTCTGAACATTTGAAAGTCAAATTTGAGGAGCGAGTGATTCCTGAAGTTACATTAGACTTTTTCAGGCTCCATATTTTCCCGACTGTTGCCATGGAATGATTTACAACAGACGTCGGGAAAACGGATTTATCCACAACAACATTCATTAGAACGCAGCGTTAATCGGTGATTTAACAGCAGTGTTGTCATTGTCCCAAATGAACATTTTAGCACAAATGAAGAAAGTGCTCTCCTGTTCTTTCTCTTTTCCCTGAGGAGCACTTGTTTCTTGTTCTCTCTCCTCTCACCTGATGAGTTGGTGTCTGTGGCGCAGAGGAGATTCCAGCAGGACTCCAGCCGTAGACTCGCAGGAGAAGGAGATGGAGGAGACCGGCTCCTGGAGCAGCTCTGAGTAAAACGCCAAGAGCACAAAGTTCTGACCGAAGAACTTCACCAACCCCTCAGAGTCTCCAGTCACCAGACACCTGCAGACAAGAACCAGGACTGAACCAGGACCGAACCAGGACCGAACCAGGACCGAACCAGGACCGAACCAGGACCGAACCAGGACTAAACCAGGACCGAACCAGGACCGAACCAGGACCGAACCAGGACCGAAACCAAGACCGAACCAGGACCAGACCCAGGACCGAACCAGGACCAAACCAGGACCGAACCAGGACTAAACCAGGACTGAACCAGGACTGAACCAGGACTAAACCAGGAACCAGTAAACCAGGACTGAACCAGAACTAAACCAGGACTAAACCAGGACCTAACCAGGACCAGGACCAGAACTAAACCAGGACTACCAGAACTAAACCAGGACTGAACCAGGACTCTAAACCAGGACTGAACCAGAACTAAAAACCAGGACTGAACCAGGACTGAACCAGAACTAAACCAGGACTGAACCAGGTCTAAACCAGGACTGAACCAGAACTAAACCAGGACTGAACCAGAACTAAACCAGGACTGAACCAGGTCTAAACCAGGACTGAACCAGAACTAAACCAGAACTGAACCAGGTCTAAACCAGGACTGAACCAGGTCTAAACCAGGACTGAACCAGAACTGAACCAGGACCGAACCAGGACCGAACCAGAACCAAACCAGAACCGAACCAGGCGCTCTCACCCGTGGCTCTCAGCCGTGGCTCTCGCCCGTGGCTCTCGCCCGTGGCTCTCGCCCGTGGCTCTCAGCCCGTGGCTCTCGCCCGTGGCTCTCGCCCGTGGCTCTCGCCCGTCGCTCTCGCCCGTCGCTCTCGCCCGTGGCTCTCGCCCGTGGCTCTCACCCGTCGCTCTCACCTGTCTGTGACCTTCATGACGGTGAAGGGCGCCTCTTGCAGGTGGATCGTGGTCACGTCGGTGGTTCTTCTGGCGGCGCCGGCGCCTCGTCCGAGCTCCCAGACCACGACGTCGCCCCCTGCTGTCGCCGTCAGGACCTGCGGCTCCTCCCAGTGAAACGCCGACTGCACCGGAGCGCCACCTGCTGCACGCGCAACGGAAATACACTGCGAAGAAGAAGAAGAGGAGGAACGAGCGTCCAACGACCCACCCTGAAGAGACAAGAGAGAGGAGAGATGGAGAAAAAGAAAAGAGGAGAGAAGAGACGAAAGAGAGGGGGTGGGGAGAGAAAGGAAGGGGGGAGAGAGGAGGAGAGGGGAAAGAGGGAAGAGAGAGAAGAGAGGAAAAAGAGAAAGTGGAGAAAGAGTGAGAGCGATAGGGAGAGAGAGAGAGAGAGAGAAAGTGAGAGAGAAAGAGAGAGAGAGAGAGAGAGAGAGAGAAAGAAAGAGAGAGGAGAAAGAGGGAAAGAGAGAGAGAGAAGAGAAAGAGGAAAGAGAGAGAGAGAGAAAGAGAGAGAGAGAAAGAGAGAGAGAAAGAGAGAGAGAGAGAGGAGAAAATGAGGACAGAGAGAGAGAAAGAGAGTGGGAAGACAGAGAGAGAGAGAGAGAGAGAGAGAGAGAGAGAGAGAGAGAGAGAGAGAGAGAGAGAGAGAGAGAGAGGAGGGGGGGTTAGAAAACGTCACATACTCATCTTCATCAGGACTTGTGTCTGTTTTTTAGCCGTTTTAGATGAAAAATTTAATTTAAAATGAAGAGAATATAAATCATGATTTTGTTATAGTTTAAAATAACTGGACAAAACATAATATTTCTTCTTTCACAGAAGAACAAATCCAAACTGTCTGAGATCAGAACAGAACAAACCTTCTTGAGCCTCAGGGAGACGTAGGACAGAGACTTTTGCTCCTGAAACAGAACAAGCCACAGTCAGAACATCACATTATTATTATTATTATCATTATTATTATTATTATTATTATTATTATTATTATTATTATTATTATTATTATTATTATTATTATTATTATTATTATTATTATTATTATTATTATTATTCTATCGTGGTGATGTCGGGCGTGTACCAGAGTGAAGTGCAGGACGTGCGTTTGGCTGCAGCTCAGGAGTTCAGAGCCACTGGAGCTGAACACAAAGTTCCTCTGAAACAGGAGAGAGAAGATGAGGTTTAAGCTCGTGCAGGTCTGAGCTGAGGCCACGTAAACGATGATGTGAGAGAGAAACCTGGAGTCCGAGGTTTGGGCTGAGCTCCGAGCAGCACCGCGGCGTCTCCGTGTCGCACGTCCAGTCCCACACACACACGTGCTGCTGCTGCACCACACACAACAACACAACAACACAACAAACACAACACACAGGCTCGTGAAAAAGACGCACTCTGGAACTTTTAGGTTGTTTCTGTCTGGAATGTTCCACAGTGTGACTTTAAACAGCTTTACATTTATTCAATCACAGGTGGTTTTACGGCTCAAAAATACAAAGAAAAACAGACATTGTGACTGTGAGCGGGGTCGCCTCTCCACAGATCTGACCTGTAACTGGGTACAGGTAAAGCTCACCTGTTGCTCTCCTGTTCCCACGGTGACCAGGAGGCGAGCGTCTGTGGAGAAAAGTACCTCAGAGACGTCGTGTTTGGGGTGACAGTGGAAGAGCGTGCACACGGGGATCCTGACCACACACACAACAGGAGGAATGTGCAGCGGCACAGACAAGAAGTACTCAGATTTGTACAAAAAATACTCAAGTAAAAGTAAAAGTGTCACGTGAAAAGTGCTAAGTAAAAGTTTTAAAAGTACTTGCTTAATGAGCAAAAAGTAAAAGTATTTTGCACAGATTTTGAGATCTAATAAAGCTTCAAATGACGTGATTCTGATTCAGATTTGAGTTGAATTTTGTTCAACAGAAACAAATGAACTGATGTTTTTTTTCCAGCAGTTTTTATTTGTTGTTATATTTTTGTTTCCTCAGATTATGAACATGTTAAAATAAACCTTCAGTTTTTCAGCAGGACTCAAACATTACTAAAAATTACTTTTACTTTTCAGTCCTGTTCAAAATCTAGTGGAGTAAAAAGTACAGATATCTGCTCTCAAGTGTAGAGGTAAAAGTAGAAGTATCCACTGTAAAATGTACTTAAGTAAAGTACAGATACCTACATTTTTTACTCAAGTACATTACTTTACTACTTTTACTTGGTTATGTTCCACCTCTGTTGTGTTCTCTGGTTAAACACAGTTTGGTGAGTGTCTGTGTAACATTCATTTTGTTGAATTTCATTTAAGAACGAAAAACAATAAAATGAAAAACAGTTTATTTCATTTTTCCATTTTAGTGTCAAACCAAACAACAGATTTCTCTATTTCCAATATTTAATTTAAAGTTTATTTCAAATAACACCAATCATAAAACAGTCTCGGTGCCTGTTTTAATGTTGATATTTTATTCTTTCTGGTTTATTTGAAGTTCTGCTGCTCAGCGTCGTCTGGGAATTTAGTTTCAACCACTGATTTTATTCTGGTTCTGTGGAGGCAACAGAGAGTTTCTCAGTGTTTCCTGTTTCTCGTTGTGGATCAACAGCGACTTTCTAAGAAGTGAAAATAAACACGTCGCAGTAAAAGAAGAAACATGTTTGTCCACAGAACTGCAACGAATTTTCAGGTGAGACTTTCAAACAACAGAACTTTATATAAACTAGTGAAAATAAAATATCAAACATTAAAACAGGCACAGAGACTGTTTTTTGATTGATGTTATTTGAAATAAAGTTTAAATTAAATATTGGAAATAGAGGCTGAAATCTTTTTTTTTTTGTTTGACACTAAAACAGAAAAATGAAATAAACTGTTTTTCCATTTTATAGTTTTTCGTTCTTGATTGAAATTCAAAAGAGTGAACAGAGCACAGACGGTGAGTTTGTCTGATGAGCTGGTTTTGTTTTTCGGTTAAATACAGGTGTGAGGAGGTTGTCGGTTCAATACCCAGAGTAGGAGTCCCAGATGATGATCATGGGGGAGGGGTCGGCGGTGACGATCCAGCGTCTGTCGTTGCTCACACACACACAGCTCAGGTTCTGACTGTGACCCTGGAAACAAACAAACAAACAAACAAACAAACGATGACATCACAGCTCTGACCTGCACCACCTCAGCCTCAGACCAGCGTGAACGAGCAGCTGACAGGACCGAGCCTGACGGAGCCGCGCCCTCCTCACCTGCAGGACGTGCTGGGAGTTGAACGTGAGGTTGTAGACGACGCCCACGTTGGCGGCGGCGTACAGCACCACCTGCTGGTCGTTGTCCTGCAGCGCGAGGACGGGGAGGGAGGGCGTCCGGCCGTACACCCACTCCAGACTCTGACAAACACCAGGGATATAAGAGCGAATCGTAAAGACGCACTACGGAACTTTTCTGATGCAGCATCTGCCACCTGCTGGTCTCCATGGAGATGTTACTGTTTGTGTGAAATGTTCCACAGTATGGCATTACTCACTCATCTGTAGCACAAGTATTATATGACCAGTGTTGAGGAGTAACAGATTATATGTACTGGAGTAATCAGAGTACAAATGATGAGTAACTGTATTCAGTTACAGTTACTGTTTCAGTGAGTGGTAATTGGATTACAGTTACTTTGTTGAAATAAATGAATTACACGGCAGGATTTTCCTCTTTTCACATTTTGGGCTATATCCCTTTTTTTTTTTTTTTTCAGTAATTCCAGTCATTCCCGGAAACTAAACTAGATCTAAAACCAGGACTAAAACAGGACTAAATCCTGCTGTGTGGACGTGTTTCTTCTTCTTCTATCAGTAATATTTTTCATTTGGTTCAGTAAAGTCTGGTCTTTTTATTTTCTTTTATCAGACAAAACTTCGTATGTGAAGATTTCCTCGTCTTTGTTTCTGTTAGAATAATTGTATATATTATCCCATATTTGCTATATTTGCTATGTACTATTCTTTGTGTATTTGAATAATCTTTTGTGCTTGGAAACTGTCTGCAGTCATGTGTGAGCAACGGCGATTCGGAGCCTGGGAGCAGACGACTTTCAAGGCTGCACGGAGAAAGTTGTGTCTGAGAGCTGAACGAAACATATGCACCTGCTGTTGATAACACATATTTGTCATATTTGTATGTCTGGTGTTTCTGCTGTTTTCACCCCCTCTCCCTGAGACACTCATTGTAACTAGGGACCCTCCTAAGACAATAAAAAGAGGAGACGCAGAGAGTGCATCAGAGCGGGTAGAGACTGTGATGGTGAACGCATCTCTGTCCACCCTCCTCAGGAGAAAATGATTCTAATTTCTTGTCTTTCTTCTTGTTTTACAATGTTTAGGTGGGTTTAAACCTGACAGTTTCTCTACAGCAAATCAAGTAATCCAAAGTATTCAGATTACATTACTCACTTTAAGTAATTTAATGGATTATGTTACAAACTACATTTTGGGATATGTAATCTGTAATCTGCAGGGGATTACAAAATTCTACTACTGTTGTAGCCACAGCTGCCCTGGGGCAGACTGACAGAAAAGAGGGTGCTGGTCTGCGCCGTCGGCTCCTCCCACCACCAACACACACACACACACACACACACACACACTCACACACGCTCCATGTCACACTAGGCAATGTGAGTACAGCGTCTTTTTGACAGTGGCGCCCCCGTGTGGCACCTTTGTGTTCCCAGGTGTTTTGGTCGTTTTTAAGCACCTATTTTTATATTTTACTTAAAATGTGAGTTTATGTTTCTCTTTACTGTTGGCAGGATCAGATTGCTCAAAAATAGAGACACTGGAGCACTTCCTGTTTGCCTGGACAAATCCAGACTCATGGATCTGAATAACAAATACACAGAGATTTTTACAGGCAAATTTCTTGTATAAAACTGGATCAAATCAGTAGTTTTGTATAAATGTGCGGGGACAGAGACACCTTACTCCAGTAGGCTAAATGTAACTGAGTAAATGTAGTTTACTCCTCACCTCTGCACGTGACTATTTTCAACATTAAACTCACTCTGTCCAATGCGCATGCGCTTAACAGAAACCCAAAGATGTAATGTAATTAAATTAAGTTGAATGTAATGTGAAATAATAAAGTAGTTTAAGGTTTAAACTCACCAGCGCGTGTGTCCTGGGGCTGGAGGACGTGTTTTTAGAGAAAAGCGAGTCTCTGGTGGCGGAGTAAACCTCAGACTGAGCGGACATTATTCAACTGTTTAAAGTGTTTAAGTTTAGCTAACACAAACTAACACAAACTAACACAAACTAACACAAACTCCGGAGCTTTTACACTAATCCCACTTTTTGCTCTCGTCCCTTTTCACCCGGGACTTCATTTATTAAACGTGTTCCTCGCAGTTGTCACGCTGAATTTGACAGAAAAAATTAAATTAAATTAAATAAATTACCCACAAGTTAACGCTCTGCTGTTAGCTGTTAGCCTTTAGCCGGAGTTTGCCGCTGCCTGGCAACGGTTGCGTAGTGACGTCAGACCCGCCGATTAAAGGTACGTGGTTTGTAGTTATTTATTTATTTATATTTTATTTATTTATTTATATATATATTTTTTGTAAGGACTTTTTTACAAAACAGATTTAATACAACTAAAATCATAAATATACGACGTGATGAGCTGAAGTCAAGACATTTAACTAGAGTAACTTCTTAATAAAGTAATAAAACCTTCCTCTTAATTTAACATATTGTGAATAGAGTGTAACAGGTGTGGTTATTTTTCTCACTTTGAGGAAGTTTACAAGTGATTAAAGACATTATATTTTAATAATAAATTCAGCCTACTCATAAAAACAAAGTCAAAGTCTTATTATACTAATATTATAGTCATGGAAGTAACTATAATAATAATAATAAATCTACTTATAATATATAATAAATAAGATACATTCACATTCATACTCACCAAATTAAATATGGAACCAAACTGAACCAGGATTAAATTAGGTTTGAGCCAGGATTAAACCAGGACTGAACCAAGACTAAACCAAGAGTAGAACAGCACTAAACCAGGACTAAACCAGGACTGAAACCAGGACTGAACCAGGACTAAACCAGGACTAAACCAAGAGTAGAACAGCACTAAACCAGGACTAAACCAGGACTGAACCAGGACTGAACCAAGACTAAACCAAGAGTAGAACAGCACTAAACCAGGACTAAACCAGGACTAAACCAGGACTAAACCAGGACTGAACCAGGACTAAACCAAGAGTAGAACAGCACTAAACCAGGACTAAACCAGGACTAAACCAGGACTAAACCAGGACTGAACCAGGACTAAACCAGAACCAGACTAACCAGACTAAACCAGGACTGAACCAGGACTAAACCAAGACTAAACCAGGACTGAACCAGGACTGAACCAGGACTAAACCAGGACTAAACCAGGACTGAACCAGGACTAGACCAAGACTGAACCAGGTTTGAACCAGGACTAAACCAAGACTAAACCAGGTTTGAACCAGGACTAAACCAAGACTAAACCAGGATTAAATCAGGACTAGACCAGGATTAAACCGAGACTAAACCAGGACTGAACCAGGTTTGAACCAGATCTGAACCAGGACTAAACCAGGATTAAACTAGAACTGAACCAGGACCGAACCAGAATTCAACCAGGACTGAATCAGGACTACAGAACCAGCTAGTTTGGTAATTTAGAGAAACTTGAATTTAACTAGATTTTTTTCAGGATCAACTCTTGTTTAAAGTTGTTCTTGTTAGTTTTTGTTTTGGTTTGGGGCTTGATTCTTCTTGACTCTGTTATTAATTATTAATGATTTGAATATTTGTGTTTCTTTCTCCTTTTCTTCACACATGACCTTAAAATGATCAAACTGGATGTTAGTAGTTTTCCCTTTTTCCTCTCCAGCACTGCTTTGTTACTGCGACTTACGAATGTTAAATCTTTTGGCCTAGGGTGACCGCATTTTCAAAAAAATAATAAAAAATAAATAAATAATAAGAAAATGGTTACACAGAGACGATTCAGGACCAACATGTGAGCCAGTATAGTCACATTTTCTTTGGGTTTTGATCGTTTTTAAGCAGATTTTTTTGTATTTTCCTGAAACAAATTACAATTTATGTCACTCTTTACTGTTGGCAGGGATCAAATTAGTTAAAAATAGGATCACCTTGGACATTTTTTTTTAAAAAAATTATAAAAGTGGGTCAAGTCAGTGTTTTTGTATAAATCTGCTGGGACAGGGGACACAGCCTCAAATCTGAGACTGTCCCGGGGAAACAGGGACGTCTGGACACTACTGTTATAACTTTTTTACAACCTCTACACCCTGTATCATATTTTGATGAACTTTTGCTGGTAATGAAAGGAATTGACCTTCAGTTGGTCATATTTTTGACAAAAGTGCCCCTGGACTCAAAATGAAGTTTTGGTAAAGCCGACCAACAACCAGAAGAAAACTGTTAGAAGGTTCATATCTGTTCAATCATAAAATAACTAAAGGCAATTTTCTCTTTAATAACACAGGAACAAAACACATAATCAGGGTAAAGATCAGATAAAATAGGCACTAAAAGTCCAAAAATGATGATTGTCAGTGTTGGTTAGTAACGATGAATCGAATGGTTTATAAAGTGAAAGCAAGAATAGAAACTGAAACTCCAGTTTATTATGACGACAGTCCAACTTATTATTGATCCATTTTCATTTAAATTGACTTGTAATGGTCCTTGTGAGAACTTAGCACGGTTTCACATTTCATATCATCGACTGTAATGATTATTTAATATTTTTTTGTTTTCGGGGAGACTTTTTTAAAAGAGTGTTGAAAATGGAGTTTGGTTTCTTCAATTATACCAAAAAGTTCATCCAATCATGATGCAGGACTTTGATTTTGGGAAAAAAAGTTCAAAAAGTTATAACCCTACTGGAAACACTAAAGTTGTCTCTGCGAAAGTAAGAAATTGGTGTAATTCCTCCTCAGTTTCACCAGAGGTCGCTCTTACACACACAGACGAAAGACCAGCCTGTTGAGTTTAGTTCAATTATAATTGTAGTTTAAGACATTGTTGAAGTTTTACATGTGAAAAATGAATTCTTGTCTCAGATCTTTGGTATTTTGTTATTTTCACAGTAAATGAACATTGTTTTGTCCTTTAATAATTGCATTACCCCGTTAAAATAACCTCACAGTGTTGCAGTTTTGTACAAAGGTCCTTTAATGATTGCCGTCCATATGAATTAAGGCATATACAGTAGAAAAAGCAGTGAGGGCCCGAGAGGAACCACAGACTTACACAGGGCCATGTCTTTGTAAACACAATAAGCACATTATACTCCCAATATTCAAGTTTAACATGTGATTTTACTCGATGATGCAGCAGGACAGGAGCGGACAGGGGCAGGGGCAGGAGCAGGGCCGACAGGTGCGGACAGGAGTAGACGGCTCTGGGGGGCAGGTGAGTCATGTCTCTGTTATTTCACGTGAAACAAAAACTGGCACAAAGTTCAACGTCCTCAGTTTTCACCAGTGTTTTGAAGTTTTTAGTTTCTCAAAGTGTACAGAAATAAAATAAAATATTGTACAGAAATAAAATAAAATAGTGTAGAGAAATAAAATAAAATAGTGTTGAGAAATAAAATAAAATAGTGTAGAGAAATAAAATAAAATAAAAGTTGAGAAATAAAATAAAATAGTGTAGAGAAATGAAATAAAATAAAAGTGTTGAGAAATAAAATAAAATAGTGTTGAGAAATAAAATAAAACAGTGTTGAGAAATAAAATAAAATAGTGTAGAGAAATAAAATAAAATAGTGTAGAGAAATAAAAAAAAATAGTGTAGAGAAATAAAATAAAATAGTGTAGAGAAATTTAAAAAAAGTGTAGAGAAATAAAATAAAATAGTGTAAAGAAATAAAATAAATTAAATAGTGTACAGAAATAAAATAAAATAGTGTATAGAGATAAAATAAAAATAGTTTAGAGAAATAAAATAAAATAGTGTAGAGAAATAAAATAAAATAGTGTAGAGAAATAAAAAAAATAGTGTAGAGAAATAAAATAAAATAGTGTAGAGAAATAAAATAAAATAGTGTATAGAGATAAAATAAAAATAGTTTAGAGAAATAAAATAAAATAGTGTAGAGAAATAAATAAAATAGTGTAGAGAAATAAAATAAAATAGTGTAGAGAAATAAAATAAAATAAAGTGTAGAGAAATAAAATAAAATAGTGTAGAGAAATAAAATAAAATAGTGTAGAGAAATAAAATAAAATAAAATAGTGTAGAGAAATAAAATAAAACAATCTTCTCTGGTGCTGTTCTGTTGGTGCGACCTGGACATCAGACGTGAACATCAGATACGGGCAGAACATGCAAACCCCTGCGCTCCTGCTCCTGTCCGCTCCTGTCAGCGCTCCCTGCTCGCCTGCCTCTCGCCTGCCGCTGCGGTGGTTAGAGTTTGGGGACGTGAGGACATGTTCTGTACATTTATTTACACCAGGTTTGATTTGAGCCGCCACAGCTCGGGCAGACAGACGAGCACCAGCAGGGGGCAGCACCGAGCCGCGCCGCACCGAGTCTACACAACAACAACAGTCACGGGTTTTTAAACTGTTTTTAAATCTGATAATCCAACAGGAACTTTTCTGCTGCATCATTTTAAAACAGAGCTGCATTTTACTCTGTGATTGTTTTTATTTTAATAGTTGATTCATCCGTGTCTTTGCACAGATTTTCAAAATGTAACAGAGCTTTTTCACATTTTTCAGAAAAGACGGGAATTATGTCTAGAGACATAAACCACGAGGAGATTTCCAGTGGTCCCATCAAGACACACTCACGTCACTTTCATCAAGGTGTTTGCTGTTTAAATTGTTTCATAGTTTATTTAATGAGAGAAGCACATTTACTGAAGTAAAATGTAAAAAGAAAACATTTGCAGTGTGAGCGGCAGTAGAAACTGTATGTTCCAGCACATATAAACATGTCACTCGTCGTAGGACCATGTTTTCTTTATTGCCTTGTTTATCCACAACTATGTCTTCTAGAATTAATCTCTTTTAGTGAGTGGATCTTTCGATTCTTTCGAGGTTCGGCTCACAGACTCTTCGACTCGTGCGTCGTGTTGATCACAGGAGCCAGTGTGGGTTCGTTGAATCGTAAACTAGTGCAGGTTTTCCTGGATAAATTAATGACATTTTAGTTCAGTAAATGTGCTTCTCTCATTAAATAAACAATGAAACTTAATTTAAATAGTAAATATCTTGATGAAAGTGACGTGAGTCTTGATGGGACCATTGGAAATCTCTTCGTGGTTTATGTTTCTAGACATAATTCCTGTCTTTTTTCAATAATTCCCTTGTTTGATCCTGATGAGTCATTTCCAGAGGGATAATGAAGAAACGAATCGTTTTATCCCTTTCAGAGCGTCTAGAGCACAGGTGTCAAACATGAGGCCCGGGGGCCAGATCCGGCCCCCCAAGACCTTTAATGTGGCCCTTGGGTGATTTTCTACTAAAATATTTTAAATGTTGAAATTGAATTTTACTTAAAGTTTCTGGTTGTTCATAATATTATAATATTATAATAAGAAAGAGTTCATCAATTAAAAAAGATTTCTGTAATAGATTTGCGTTTCTCTGCACAAATATTTGAACTTATTGTTATTTTTGGGGTTTATATGACATGAGTTTTCTGATCCGGCCCCTTTGGGATCAAAGTCGGTTGGATACGGCCACCAGACCAAAATGAGTTTGACACTCCTGGTCTAGAACAACCAAATACACAACAAAACCTGCCCATGTTTCTCCCATGCTGCTCAAGTCAGTGACATAGTGTGTCCGGTGTCATGGCGGCGTTGGTACCGTTGCTATAGGTGAGTTTCAGCTGACGTCATTGTTATTAAAAGTCCGCGTTGCTGCTGGGAAATATTTTGGTCGGAGGCAAGAAACACGGTAGCGTCAAACACAGTGTGTAACCTCGTGTATTTCTCCTTGATAATGTTAAATTCCTGCTGCATTATCGGACGCACAAATAGAAACACAGAAGAAGGAAAATGTCTTTTTCGTATTCTGAGTGAAAAGAACCACTAACGGTGAATTAAACGACTTTCAAACATCCGCAGAGCAAACGTAGAAGATCCTAACAAACCGTGGACTCAACAAGTTCAACAACACATCCAGACTCTTGGAGGTTTTCATCTTTTCTGCTGTGAATGGCCCAGGAGTTTCCACCAAGTCATTGTGGATGTCGCCCAAGTGAATATTTGTCCAGGTAGTTGGAGATTCTGACCAGAAGTTTGGTTTGGTCCAGACTCTGTCGGGGTTGAAAAGGGTGATTTGTCGTCCATCTCTGGTCAAATGGTCTTGGGTCGTCTGCTGTTAGAGTGGATAAATAACCGGGATCAATACCCTTTACGTGTTTTCTCGCTCCGTCCGTCATGTTGAATTAGTGTTTCTTGCCGCCGACCAAAATAATTCCCAGCAGCAACGCACGCTTTTGTCAACAATGAAACTGGTCTATAGTGTGTGTGCAGTTATTACTCCAATGAATCGTTACAGTTCTGTTTGAAAACCCTCCTCCTTCACGTGTCGGGGGCGGAGTCTGCGGCGTTGGCGTTGGCGGTGGTTCTGTCTCCCCCTGCTGGTGCGTCCCTGTAAACGCGCCTGTGGGTGAGAGGTACATTCACGACAATAATGTGCTGAAGCAGGTTTGTACAGTTTGGTCTGAAGCAGGTCCGTGTTCAGATCCCGGTTTAGTCCTGTCAGATCTGTGCAAAAAGATCCTCCCGTGGTCCGGTTACGATCCTCCCGTGGTCCTGCACTGTGGACCCCGGCTTGAGTCCAGGTCCGGTCCGGTCCAGGAGTCTGCGGGAGGACCGGGCTCAGCTGGAGGTGGCGCGGTCGGTCGGAGAATACGCTGGAGGTTGTGTGGATGTTCTAGAATCTCAGACGGAGGGCGAAGGGTTTTTTTTGGAAAGTAAATCTCCAAACTTCTGCTCCACAAACGTTGAAACTTCTCATCAGCTCCACAAACTCGTCACAACGGCTCCACTTTCTGAAAAAATCCTGTCACTTTAGTTTATTTGTCCAGACAGAAGAGGCTGAACTTTGTGCCAGTTTTTGTTTCATGTGGAGAGTTTCAGGAAGTGCAGAGATCTGAGCGACCTTTGTGAAAGAAGGCGCCTGATTGGTCTGTTATTAGAGAGAGGAGGGACCATATTTCACTGGAGCCGAGTCGCTTCAGTGTTCACCTCCTGTGTGGAACGTGACGTGAACGTGATCGTGAGCTGTGAACATTTACAGTCCAGGATTAAACTGGAGAGATTCTGCAAAGTGCTGATTTTTTTTACAGAGCTGAGGGTCGAGCGGCTGAAGAGGTCGTGGAGATGAGAGACTGACTGCATCTGAACAGAGGAGCAGAAGAGCAGGTGGAGGAGCAGTGGAGGAGCAGGTGGAGGAGCAGGTGGAGGTCTGATGTCTCATAAACAGGTGGAGTTATTGGAGGGTGAACAGGGTCAGGAGGACGAGGAGGTGGAGGAGGTGGAGGAGGTGGAGGAGGACGTCTCACTTCTTCCCGTCGCTTTCTGAGGAAACACAGACACAAAGCAGAGTCATGGACGACTGTTGTGAGTCAAATGGAAGAAGAAAGAGTCTGGACCAGAGGAAAGTCCAGAACATCAGACACACACACACACACACACACACACACACACACACACACACACACACACACACACACACACACACACACACACACACACACACACACACACACACACACACACACACACACACACACACACACACACACACACACACACACACACACACACACACACACACACACACACACACACACACACACACACACACACACACACACACACACAGACACACAACACACACACACACACACACACACACACACACACACACACACACACACACACACACACACACACACACACACACACACACACACACACACACACACACACACACACACACACACACACACACACACACACACACACACACACGCACACACACACACACACACAAACACACAGACACACAAACACACAGACACACACACACAGACACACACACACAAACACACACACGAACACACACACACAGGGGCAGTGTGAGTGTCACACTTTTATTATATCAACTCTAAGACAATGACATGAAGTCTGCACACTCACCTGCAAAACACTCACCTGCAAAACACTCACCTGCAAAACTCTCACCTGCAAAACTCTCACCTGCACAGGTCATGTTCTCACCTGTACAGGTCATATCTCAGTGTCATGTTCTCACCTGTGTACAGGTCACCTGTTCACCTGTACAGGTCATGTTCTCACCTGTACAGGTCATGTTCTCACCTGTGTACAGGTCATATTCTCACCTGTACAGGTCATGTTCTCACCTGTACAGGTCATGTTCTCACCTGTGTACAGGTCATGTTCTCACCTGTGTACAGGTCATATTCTCACCTGTACAGGTCATATTGTCATGTTCTCACCTGTGTACAGGTCATATTCTCACCTGTACAGGTCATGTTCTCACCTGTGTACAGGTCATGTTCTCACCTGTACAGGTCATGTTCTCACCTGTGTACAGGTCATATTCTCACCTGTACAGGTCATGTTCTCACCTGTGTACAGGTCGTACTGCGGCTGCACCAGGCCGTAGCTCAGTCCGAGGGCAGAGTGGTGACTGTGGAGGTGACGTCCAAACGACACGTGGGTCCTGTCCGAGTCTGTCTCCGGAGAACCTTTCTCCCCGGGCTGAAGAGACACAGGTGAGACTACAGGTAAATATACAGGTAAATATACAGGTAAATATACAGGTGTGACAACAGGTAAAAGTACAGGTGAAACTACAGGTAAATATACAGATAGTTCTGCAGGAGAGCCCTTCTTCTTGGTCTGAAGAGACGCACAGAGGTAACTACAGGTAACTACACAGGTGACCAGTGTTGGGAAGTGATTAAATGTATGAACACTAAATCTGTTCTCAGGATCCACATTTAGAGTTTCTGTTTTCTGGGGCTTGATTAACCGACTGAGTCTAGATTTTCTCTTGAGGTCTCAGATCCTCAAACCCACTCAGAGTGAAGTCCGACACTCACGGCTGGAGATTTCCCGTGGCACTGGTGCGTCTGAGGCAGCAGCTCTAACCCTGTGGAGTCTGAGTGTTTAGTGCTGACGGCGCCCCCTCTGGTCACTGCGCCCTCCTGCTCCTCTCGCCCGGCCGTCTTCCCGTACAGAGGGTAATGAAAACCTGCAGGAAACACGGCACGTTCCAGGCCGGAAACATCTGGAATATTTAACAAACCCAACAAGAAAAAACAACAAAACCTAATCTAACTAATATAAGACTGAACCAGGACTAAACCAGGACTAAACCAGGTCTAAACCAGGACTAAACCAGGACTAAACCAGGTCTAAACCAGGACTAAACCAGGACTAAACAAGGACCAGATCTCTGTAATTCCTGGAACTATCCACATGAAACAAAAACACAAAGACACAAAGTTCAGCCTCTTCTCTGTTACGAGAAATAAAGTAAAAGTTTAGTCCTGGGTTAGTCCTGGTTTAGTTCTGGTTCAGTCCTGGTTTAATCTTGGTTTAGTCCTGGTTTAGACCCAGTTTAGTCCTGATTTAGTCCTGTTTTTCTCTGTCTGGAGAAATAAATTAAAGTCAGATGATTTTTTCACAGTTGCTTCAGAAAGTGGAGTCGTTATTCAACTCTAAAAGTCGTGAGAGTTTCAGCTGAAACGACTTTAAACTTTAAAAAAGATAAATGTGACAAGTTTGTGGAGCTGATCCCAAACAAGAAGAAGAAGAAGGTTCATCACTTGTGGCTCAGATGTTTGGAGTTTTCTTTCATAAACACAGTTGAGTCTGTAGTTTGAGTCTGTAGTTTGAGTCTGTAGTTTGTGTCTGTAGTTTGAGTCTGTAGTTTGAGTGTGTAGTTTGAGTCTGTAGTTTGAGTCTGTAGTTTGAGTGTGTAGTTTGAGTCTGTAGTTGAGTCTGTAGTTTGAGTCTGTAGTTTGAGTGTGTAGTTTGAGTCTGTAGTTTGAGTGTGTAGTTTGAGTCTGTAGTTTGAGTCTGTAGTTTGGGTCTGTAGTTTGAGTCTGTAGTTTGAGTCTGTAGTTTGTAGTTTGAGTTGTAGTTTGGGTGTGTAGTTTGGTGTGTAGTTTGGGTGTGTAGTTTGTTGTAAGTTTGAGTCTGTAGTTTTGGGTCTGTAGTTTGAGTCTGTCTGTAGTTTGAGTCTGTAGTTTGAGTCTGTAGTAGTTGTAGTAGTCTGTAGTTTGGGTGTGTAGTTTGAGTCTGTAGTTTGAGTGGGTGTGTAGTTTGAGTCTGTAGTTTGAGTCTGTAGTTTGAGTCTTGAGTCTGTAGTTTGGTCTGTAGTTTGGGTGTTTGTCTGTAGTTTGAGTCTGTAGTTTGTGGTAGTTTGAGTCTGTAGTTTGTAGTCTGTAGTTTGGGTGTGTAGTTTGAGTCTGTAGTTTGAGTCTGTAGTTTGGGTGTGTAGTTTGAGTCTGTAGTTTGAGTCTGTAGTTTGAGTTTGGGTCTGTAGTTTGAGGTCTGTAGTTTGAGTCTGTAGTTTGAGTCTGTAGTTTGAGTCTGTAGTTTGAGTTGTTTTGAGTTGAGTCTGTCTGTAGTTTGGTCTGTAGTTTGTAGTTTGAGTTTAGTTGTAGTCTGTAGTTTCTGTAGTTTGAGGTCTGTATTTGTAGTCTGTAGTAGTCTGTAGTTTGAGTCTGTAGTTTGGTCTGTAGTTTGAGTCTGTAGTTTTGGGTGTGGTAGGTTGAGTCTGTATTGTTAGTGGTTGTCTTGTAGTTTGGGGTGTGTAGTTTGAGTCTGTAGTTTGTCTGTAGTTTGTGAGTCTGTAGTTTGAGTGTAGTAGTTGAGTCTGTAGTTTGGGTCTGTAGTTGAGTCTGTAGTTTGAGTCTGTGTAGTTTGAGTCTGTAGTTTGGGAGTCTGTAGTTTTGTAGTTGTGAGTCTGTAGTTTGTAGTTTGTCTGTTTGTCTGTAGTTTGAGTCTGTAGTTGTAGTCTGTAGTTTGAGTCTGTAGTTTGAGTCTGTAGTTTTTTGAGTCTGTAGTTTGAGTCTGTAGTTTGGGTCTGTAGTTTAATTTGTAGTTTGTAGTTTGAGTCTGTAGTTTGAGTCTGTAGTTTGGGTGTGTAGTTTGGGTCTGTAGTTTGGGTCTGTAGTTTGAGTCTGTAGTTTGAGTCTGTAGTTTGGGTCTGTAGTTTGAGTCTGTAGTTTGGGTCTGTAGTTTGAGTCTGTAGTTTGGGTCTGTAGTTTGAGTCTGTAGTTTGGGTGTGTAGTTTGAGTCTGTAGTTTGAGTCTGTAGTTTGGGTCTGTAGTTTGGGTCTGTAGTTTGAGTCTGTAGTTGGTGTTTGTGTCTGTAGTTTGAGTCTGTAGTTTGAGGTCTGGTAGTTGAGTCTGTTGGGGTCTGTAGTTTGAGTCTGTAGTTTGAGTCTGTAGTTTGAGTCTGTAGTTGAGTCTGTAGTTTAGTCTGTAGTTTGAGTTTGAGTCTGTAGTTGGTAGTTTGGTCTGTAGTTTGAGTCTGTAGTTTGAGTCTGTAGTAGTTTGAGTCTGTAGTTTGGTTGTAGTTTGAGTCTGTAGTTTGAGTCTGTAGTTTGAGTCTGTAGTTGAGTCTGTAGTTTGGGTCTGACCTGGGTAGGAGTGGACCAGCGTGGGGGACAGGCCCCTGTAGTTGCCCGCGGACGTCTCGCTGATGCCGGGCAGGTAGGGCGGGTAGGCGGGGGGGTGGTACTGGGCGTAGGGCTGCGGCGACGGGGGAGACACGGCCGCCCTGGCGCTCTGGCTGTCCTCGCACGGCGCCCCCTGGTGGTCCTGCTCGTCGCCCGCCTTCCCGTCTCGGTCCTGGGCGGCGGGCGTGAGCTCCGGAGCGCCGCCCGGATCCTCCTCGCCGTATTTGCCGTGGACGAAGCTCCTCCAGGCGCCGCCGTCTGAGGACTGAACTCAACACACACAGTTTCCTCAAGAACTCAGCGCTGGGACTTTGACACATCCACGGGTTTCAGAGTCAGGGCCAATAATTATCACGGTTACCATAGCAACTAACAATTCAAAAGAAATGATTGTATCAGTCCAGTGAGGTTCATTTGGTCGATAATTTATGTTATTAGGTTTTTTTTTCAGACCAAGAGTTTGTTTTCAGACCTGACAGTTTGGGCGAGTGTGCCAAAATATCGATATCGAATCGTGTAATGTGATGATTCAGTATCGATATAGTGGGCTGCTGTATCGATATATCGCCAACTCCGAAGGACCGATCAAGTGGCAAGTGAAGAAGAAGAACTACAACGTGAAAAGTAAAGGAACAGAGAAGTTGGAAACGTAAGTAAAAGTAATTTATTGTTTTATCATTATTCGGTTCACGTTGTAGTTCTTCTTCTTCACTTGCCGCTTGATCGGTCCGTCGGAAAATAGAGTCCCACTGTCACTTCTGTTGTGGCTTTTTAATGTGTTGTGGCATTTGCGTTTGTGTTGTGGCGTTTGCATTAAAATAGAGTCCCGTGGTAATTTCCGTTGTGGCTTTTTTTGGTGTGTTGTGGCTTTTTGTTGTGTTGTCGCATTTGTATTTGTTGCTGCGTTTGCGTTTGTTGTGAGCCTCTCGGCTTCCGTACTGTTCGGTTTCACTGGTTTGTTCATATCGTGACAAAAGACAACATTGTCAAACATCGTCGCTGGATTAAAGAGGCAATCGAAATACAGAATCGTGTCCACGAAACGATTAACCGGGACGAAGGTCTTTTTTTCCACTCACACTCCTGGATTGTGTGGTGAGGAAGTGCGTCTGCAGGTGGCGCTGTCGTCCTGACTCCACCGAGACCAAGACACAGACAAAACCTTAAATCTTTAAATCAACTGAATGACACGACACAGAAACATCACCAGACCAAGAGGAAGACTTTGAGGAAGACGCGGGGAGCAGAACAAACTGTCAGGACCAAAACAAACTCTGGGTCTGAAAAAAGAACCGAAGAACATTTATTATCTCTTTTAAATGGTCAAAAGTCAAACAGAAACTGAAACCCACAAATAAAAACAATGTTAACTCTGGTCACTACAGCTGTAAATGTCCTCGGCCATCATCTTTACATCTCTGTGGGCGTCTTATTCATTAAATACATTGTAATATGGAGAGTTGTGAGTGGATTTCACTGGCAACAGGACGGATGTTACAGGTGTTTTGTCTCAAAGTTAAAACTCTCATTTCACAATCTAATTATGAGGAAAATAATGTCGCAAACTGAACCGATTTACCGTATTTTTTTGACTAAAAGTCGCACTTTTTTTCATGGTTTGTGTGTTTCCTGTGACTTATTCTCAGTGTGATTCTATATTAAAATGTTTTTGGTGAAGTGTGGAGAGGCTCTGGTCTTGTGTGTGAGTATCTGCTGCTCCTGTTCCTCCTGTTCCAAATCTCCCTTTTCAACCCCGACAGAGTCTGGACCAAACCAAACTTCTGGTCGGAATCACCAACTACCTGGACAAATATTCACTTGGGCGACATCCACAATGACTTGGTGGAAACTCCTGGGCCATTCACAGCAGAAAAGATGAAAACCTCCAAGAGTCTGGATGTGTTGTTGAACTTGTTGAGTCCACGGTTTGTTAGGATCTTCTACGTTTGCTCTGCGGATGTTTGAAAGTCGTTTAATTCACCGTTAGTGGTTCTTTTCATGCAGAATACGAAAAAGACATTTTCCTTCTTCCGTGCTTCTATTTGTGCATCTGATAATGCAGCAGGAATTTACCATTATCAGGGAGAAATACACAGGTTACACACTGTGTTTGACGCGCGACCGTGTTTTCTTGCCTCGACCGACCAAAATATTTCCCAGCAGCAACGCGGACTTTTAATAACAATGACGTCAGCTCAAACTCGACTATTTCATCATATCTTGTGTTATTCCATCTTTGAACTGTTGATGAAGGTTCATGATTTAAAAAAAAAATGTATTTAAAATGATAAAAATGTTCTTAGAAGGACTGACATATTTTATAGAAATAGTTTCTTTCATTTTGAAGTAATATTAAAGTTTTCAGAAGAAAAAAGCGACAAATGATGTAAAATCCTGCACCTTCTACTTGTTTGTAACAATTTTCCCTCCGTCCGTTACTTTTCCCTCCGTTACCATGAACTTTCTTAATAAAAAATCTCATGAGTCAAAAAGTCAGAGGTTTTTCAACCTAATCTTGTACCATATGGTAGAAAACTATATGAAGCAAATATTCAAACCAGTTTGTTAAGGATATGGAAGTGAGAACCAAGAGTTATCACTGTTTGGATTTATTGACCAAAAAGTGCTGCATATTTCATTCCCTCCGTTACTGACATGAGTTTTTAAATTTTTTGTCTTGAACTTGAAAGAATCTCACAGGTTTAACTTGACCCTGTTGGAGTGTAACTCTTTCCTACATTCTGATACTTTACTTATTTCAATAGTTCCTCTAGTTTCTGAATAAGAGACATTTGAATGTCAAAAATCTGACCCTGTTTCCCTCCGTTAACACTTGACTGAACCCGTCTGTTCTGTCTGTATCATGTCAGTCGATCGCACCATTACTTCTGCACCACTGAACTATTTAACATTTAAACAAACTTATAAAGACAAAGACTGAGACGACTGAACACAAACGCCCCAAAACAAAATCAGATTCTGCAGATTTACAAACTACAAGTCGTGAAATCTGCAGCTGAAAACGGAAATGGAGCAACAGAAAGAAAGTTTGGAGTGAGAGAGAAACTTGTGACACTTGTGAAACTTTCCTGAAGTCACTGGATGGATGGACAAAGCCTGGAGTTCAGTGACACTGAAACCACCTGTCGAGATTCAGAAAGACACGAATGATTCTAACTGAACTGAGTCTGAGTCTGACAACGACGACACAGAAGAAGAAGCGGCGCAACTTTTACCTCCGGAGGTTGAGGCCGAGTTGTTCAGAAGTGATCCGTGTGTTATTCGTTCATTCGTTTTTCAATATAAAACCAAAAATAAGAAAACAAAAAAACAAACCAAAATGAAAAAACAGTTCAGTTTTTTCAGTTTTCAATTTTGTGTTTAAATGAAAAATGGAAAAAACAAATAACGGCCGTTTCCCGTTTATGTGACGTCCGTGACTGCGATGCCGAACTTTTGAACGGACTTTGCCGGACTGGTCAGACTGATCCAGGTCAGTCTGGTCTGGTCTGGTCTCAGGTCTGGTCAGTCGGTCCAGGGTCTGGTCTCGGTCTGTCCCTGGTCTCAGTCCAGGTCTGGTCTGGTCTCGGTCTGGTCTTCTCAGTCCCGGTCTGTCCCGTGGTCTCGGTCTGGTCTCAGTCGTCTGGTCTCAGTCTGGTCTGGTCTCGTCGGTCTGGTCTCTCAGTCTCAGTCTCAGTCTGGTCTCGGTCTGGTCTAGTCTGGTCTCGGTCTGGTCTGGTCTCAGTCTCGGTCTGGTCTCAGGTCGGTCTGGTCTCAGGTCTCGGTCTCCGGTCTGGTCTCGTCTGGTCTCTCAGTCTCCCGGTCTGGTCTCGTCTGGTCTGGTCTGTCTCAGTCTCAGTCCCGGTCTGGTCTCGGTCTGGTCTCAGTCTCAGTCTCGGTCTGGTCTCGGTCTGGTCTCTGGTCTCAGTCTCGGTCTGGTCTCCTCGTCTGGTCTCAGTCTCAGTCTCGGTCTGGTCTCAGTCTCAGTCCCGGTCTGGTCTCGGTCTCGGTCTGGTCTGGTCCTCAGTCCTGGTCCGGTCTGGTCTCGGTCTGGTCTCGTCTGGTCTCGGTCTGGTCTCAGTCTCAGTCCCGGGTCTCGGTCTGGTCTCGTCTGGTCTCGGTCTGGTCTCAGGTCTGGTCTCAGGTCCCGGTCTGGTCTCAGTCTCAGTCTCTGGTCTGGTCTGTCCGTCTGGTCTGGGTCTGGTCCCGGACCTGGATCCGTCCTGGTTCAGTCCTGGTTCCTGGTTCAGTCCGTTATCCGTTTTTTTCCATTTTTCATTTAAACACAAAATCGAAAACTGAAAAAAAAGAATCATTATCTGTTTTTTTCATTTTGGTTTTGGAGACAAATAATGAAGAAAACTGTTATTTTTTCGTTTTCTTATTTTTGGTTTTATTTTGAAAAACAAACGAACGAACGACACGCAGATCAGAAGTGACGCCGAGGATGAAGAACTGAAGTGATTTAGTGATTTGGAGTGAGACGGAGAGTTTGGTTAAACTTGTTCTGTTGTTTATAGTTTATCTGAAGAACTGTGAAATATTCTTCTCTCTTCTGTTGTTTTTACTACAACTTGACTTTACACACGAAATGTCGGCTCCTGATCTCAGTTTAGAAAAGACAATTACAAAAAATTGCCACTTATACATGTTTTTTTCTTCTTCATTATGCATTTTTTGGCTGGTGCGACTTATGCTCCAGAGCGACTTTTAGTCCAAAAAACACGGTACATGTGATTTATTCATATTATAGTTTTAATCATTTTTACCTTTCGCTTTGAGAAACAAACACCCTCCTCTGTACACGTGTCCTCCAGATTCTCCTGCACATTTACTGTTCTGAAAAGCTCGAGCGGGAAAAGGCGGAATGTCTAAATAAAAGTACGATTTTCACAAACTAAACGGTCAAGTACGTTTAAGTTTGTTTGGGTTCGTTTGGGACGTTTCACCTTTGGCTCCGCCCACGACCTCCACTGCGTCTCAAACCCGACCAAACGAGATCGTCCGTTCAGATTTTTATTTTTATTTTTATTTCACTGGTGCGTGTGAAATGGAGTCGCTCGCTGGTCACTGAGGATTTACCGTAAAGTCAAATGGACCTCACCTCAGGTCAGATATTTTAGCTGAGTTTAGGATTTTGTTCGTTGCTTCTGCAGAAATCAGCCCGAGGACCAGACTCACAACTTTGTAACGTAAAAGAAAAATGTTTTCTGTGTCCTGGGAAACACAGACTCTCATCAAATCTGAGAAGAATCAAGATGGTGT